AACTTGTAATTTCAAGAAACTCAGAATGAGAAAATTCTATAGTGTTCTGAATAGAATTGTTACAGTTTAGGTTAGTTAAGGTATTCCAATTTTAGCATAGATCAGAAATTTTTAAACTACGTTTCACCATAAGTCTTTTTTTTAAAGAATAATTTTTTATTGTCATAGTTTGTGAAGAGAAACCAGGGTAGACAGTTCAAGGAAGGACACAGAGTGTGCCCTGTTTTAGGTTCCAAATTTCTTTTTGATAGGTGGTGGGATCTGAGCAATGATATCATCAAGGGGCCATTCTACTGCCACAAGTGTCCTTTCATTCAAAAGATCCATGAAAAGTAAGTGCTTATGTTTCTTAGAAATTTTAAAGGCATGGGCTGTGTTCCTTCAAAAGACATCCGATTCATTTGTAGGAGGAAGTGGATTTAGAGTACTGTTTTGTCATTTGGAAGAGGCAGTGACTTGTCAATGACGCAGGACATGTAGGCCTCATGGAGGAGAATGTGCATTGGTCTCTTGGGATGAACACTGATGGGTGTGAGGGGAGTATCCCTTTGGAGCCAAAGGTGGTGAAACCCTGCTTCTGGACATTCCAGCTCCATTCTGTATACTTTTGGTCTGGGATGCTGTATTCAAATACCTGCTGGTCAGAATGAGCAATGACAAGGTTGTTGGTATTGGCAGCGGTGGCCAGAGCAGTCACTGGAAAATTGTAAGCAGGCACTGTGCAATGAAGCTTTAGGTGTTTTACGTTGTACACATGGACTCCAGCATTGGTACCTGACACAGCTAGCCAATTCCCATCTGGACTGACAGCCAAAAGACACATGGCCTCCATCATCCCTGACTGAGGCTGGAAAGTATGAAGGTGCTTGAAGCTTCCTTCCAATAGCTGAATGATATGTAGTGACCCCTAATTTGATGCCACAAAGAGCTTTGTTGAATCTTCAGAAAACAAAATCTAAAGGGCAGAACGAAGGAAGGCCGGCATTTTGGAAACCCTCTGGAGGTTTATGTTGTCATGTTCATAATTCAACTGATAGACAAAAACCCGAGATGCTGTAGAATAGGTTATCCAGCTTCTACGCGGGGAGATAGAACTGCAAATAATGTTCTCAGCACCCTTTGTTTTGAGATGTAGTACATGATCTGCATTTTTAGAAAGTGGAAGAGTATCCCCATTCTTGCCTTTGCAACAGTGGATCCCACTTACCAAAGTTCCAAGGGATGAGCAAAGTGGAAGAGGAGAAGCTGCCTCTTTTTAGAACAGAAAATGAGTCACTGATGGGGAAAGGTGATTTTCCAGATAGCAGCATCATAATTCTTCACCTCCACCCTCTCCACCAGAGGGCGAATGACTAAGTGGGTGTCAGTACTTCCAGATATCCACGCATGCCATGGGTGTGGTGCTGGAATGGCTTGGTCCACACCCACTGCTTCTCAGTGCTGTTGGAAGTCACAGAGACCAGCTGAAAATGGAATACTGTGCCTTCAGCTGTGCCCACCATGAAACTGTCTTCTTCATCAGCAGTGGGCGGCAATGGACTGTATATCAGTACTTGCAGTGAGATGGCTCTATTTTCTTTTCTTTTTCTTTTTTTTTTTTTGGAACTGGGGATTGAACTCAGGCCCTTGCACTTGCCAGGTAAGTGCTTATTCTACTGAGCTATCTCCCTGGCCCTGTGAAGATGGCTCTTGACAAACGTCCCTGTAGCAGAATCCCAGAACTGGAATTTCCCCGCAGAGTCCACGCTTATGACAGGGCTGTCAGATAAAAAGGCCACACCACACACAATACACTTCTGCTTAGACACATCCATGTATTGCCTATCTATTATTATCTTATGAATAGCACTGCCGGATTTGATATCAAACACACTAATATAGTCGATGGAGCCTGATGCAATGTGGGTACCAGCGAGATGACAGCCGAGATTCAGGATGCAACTTTTCTGCTGATTAAAATTTCTTCCAAACTGAATTTTGTCAGGGGTGACTTGCAATAGCTTCACAGATCCATCTTTACAACCAACTAAAAGTTGAGAGCCACTGGGGCTAGCAATCATACTCCAAAGGCATCCATTGCATATTTGATGTTTAATGCCTGTAAGTCATACTCAAGAATTTCTCCATTGAGCCCAGCACTAAAGAGTCACTGTCCTTCTGCCCAGCACAGAGCTTCTGTAGCACGGGATTCATGATCTGCAAAAAATTTCTCCTGAAAGTAGTTTGCTGACAAGTTACAAATTTCCACAGTGCCATCTGTTTATGAAACAGCCAATCTATTTGACTGGTTATTGTAAGCCACACAGCGGATCCTTTGTAGGACATAATTAAAGATAGGCTTTGAATTCAGCCATTCCTGAGGCCCTCCACCACCAGCCCGGAGCTTGCCCCTCTCTGCCCTAGCCCCACATACATGCCCGCTCTCCATCTCTGCCCCCTGTAAGTCTTTCTTGAGGCACTGGGGATTGAACCTAAGGTCTTGCCCTTCTTTTGTGATAAAAGAAGGGTAAATTTGTCCTTTGAGGAATAATACCCAGATCAAGGATACAGTACTCTGGATCAAGATGGGAAAGATAGGATTGTAGGGCTGGCAGTGTGGATTCATGGTGGGATGGTTGCCCAGCATGTGTGAAATCCTGGGTTCCCCCCAGCACAAGAAGAAGATGAGGGCCGGCCAAATAGTTCAGCGGACTAAAGCACCTGCTTAGGCAGTTGCAGGCACTGGGGTTCGATCCCCAGCATGCTGTGCCGGCCCTGCCCCCGGGGCGCATTGAGATGGTGAATGAGACTGGGCGTGGTGGCACAGGCCTGTAATCCCAGCATTTGGGAGATTGAAAACAGGAGGATCACTATGAGTCTGATCTACGTAGTGAGACCCTGTAGACTCTGATGACAACAACAACAATCACAAGGGTAAAGGTATGTCGTGAGACAGACCAAGACTCACAAAGTTCAAGTGATCAGTCTTCAGCTGTGTTGTGGCAAAACAACTCAATGAGAAAAATGTCTTTACTGCATTAGATTAAACAGGGAAATCTGATTTTTTAAGCCCTGCCAAGTTTTGCTGCCAGTATTCTGCTTTGGGTATACTGGTCTCTACAATGTCCAGGCAAATCTGATAATGTTCATTGACTTGACTCACTGTTCTGAGAATGCATGGGGCTACCAGCCAACAGTCTTCAGCATCCCAGATGCCAGGCCGCTCCACATCTAGCTCAGCTATTTCCATGTTGAAATGTGCCCCTAACTTTCAGGGGCCTTTCTCTTTGGAAGAGAATTAGGATGATCCGGTGACCCAAGATTTAGCAATGAGAACCACCTCTGGAACTGGATGTATCTCAGACCAGTTTGTCTAGTTGGGGCTCAGGGGGCAAGAGTCCTAGTAACAGTGGGTTTAGCCAGGCTTTGTGGGTTTTCATGTTTGCTCTGATGGTATTGTGTGGCTGTACTGTTTTGATTGAACCAAGATTTGCCAAGACACATAATGAACGAGGCACCATGTGCCTGGAGCAGGTATAATTGAGTATTCATCCCTTCCTTCAACACTTCAGATCCTTAATCTCCAGGTTCTTTAATCCATCCCTTAGGAGTCTGACACTGATGTCACCACTACTTTAATCTCAGCAGCTGTGTGAATGAGCCTTGCAACTCTTCATCATTCTCCTTTAGATTGCTTGGAAACACATGAACAGTATTTAGAAAGATGCTGTTACTGATCTCTTGCTGGTAAGATCTTGGCTTGGAGGATCTTTTAAAGCCAGTTAAACAGTTACAAGGACATCTTTCTATGGAAATTCTAGGATGTGACCAATTTAAAAGAGTTGCTCTGCCATCATAGGTGAGGTATGGAAACAACTGTCCATTAGATAGGGTTCAGCTTTTATTTGTCACCTTTGGGTGATCCATTAACCTTTACCTGCCTCCATTTTCAGGGGCCAATGCTCTAATCTCTGTATTGTCTTGCTTTCATTCTGAGTGAACGTCTCCCATCTATTTCACTATCTCTTCCTACCACCAGATGGTGGAAAGCGAAAAGGAATTCACACACTGGCACGTCAATGTGGTAGCAGGCAGAGTATGGTTGAAAGGTGTGGTGGAGAACGAACCCAGAAGGGCGCTTGTGGCTTGCTCAAAAATTCCCAAGAATTCTCCGTTTTTATTTTAGCATCTACTCAAGGGTTGGCTGGCTGGGTCTGAGGCAATGATGCCTATCAGGGAGGGAAACAGCGTTTGTCTCAGTAGAATCCGCATACCATCAGAGCCCTAGAACATTTCCAAGACAGTGAACACCACCTGTCCTGGCACGCTAAGGCAGGGTAGCCCCCCCATCCTTCTCAGTCTCGGTCCCACCACCTCCTAAGCGCAGAGCCCGCACTTGGCCTGCCTGGGTTCCCACGCGGCCCTCCAGGGGGCCTTTCTCTACCACTCGAAACCGTCCCCTTCTTCCGTGTCCCTCCCGCCCCTAGGGGTCACCTGTCAGAAGTCTTAGCAGGTGTCCTGCCCTTCACCTGCTCGCTATCTCTCTTCCCCTATACCTTCTCCATCTCTCCCCGCCCCCTCCGGGCCCGCCCCCTGCTCCTCTTCCACGTGCCCCTCAACTCCGACGCCCCCTCCCCCACGGACCCCATCTCCTCCGGTCTCGAGGAGTCTCGCGGCACTTCCCGGGGCGTTAGCCCGAGCCGCCGCGGGCAGGGGGCTACTGCTGGAAGCTGGGGCCCTACCTAGTGGGCTGCGAAGAGGGCGCCGGAGCGTCTCCGCCTCGGGACGCCCCCGGAGCCAGGCCTTCTAGGCCCAGCCCCGCCCCGCCCCTCTCCTGCCCCGCCCCCGCCCCCCTGCCTCCGCCCCGGCGGCCGCGCGTTCCCCGCAGGCGGAGCCGCAGGAGCATCACGGTGGCGGCAGCGGCAGCAGCAACGAGGAGGAGGGGACAGCAGGCGGCGGGGCCGCGCTGCTGGGCGCTGGGCTGGGCGGCGCTTTTTTTTTTTTTTTTGCAATTTCCACTCGCGGGGAGCAGGAAACCCGGCGCAGCCGGGCGCAGCGGGCCGCGATGCAGCAGCAGCAGCAGCAGCAGCAACAGCAGCAGCAGCAGCAGCAGGAGTCGCCCCGGGGCAACAGCAGCAGCAACAGCAGAGGCAGCAGCGGGGGGCGCTGAGCCGTCGCTGCCTTCTCTGAGAAAGAAGCTAGTCCAGTCGCCGCCGCTCCCTGAACCCTGCGCCCCGGTCCCGGCGCCCCGACCCCCACGCCCGCCTCTGCCAACTTTCACGCTGCCTCGGCGGCCCGGCCCGGCTTGGAGCCAATGGGTGAGTGGGGGACCGTCGGGGTCCCAGAGCCCATCTCACCCTGGCGATGGTGCGCCCATTCCAGGACCGCGGATCTGGGAAGGGCGACCTGGAGCAGGGCCAGGGCAGGTGACATCTCGGTGGGCGTCCTTGCCTGCTTCGCGCACCCCTGTGCACTCCCACTTGCGCCCATGTCCCCGCCGAGCCCGCGTGAGACGCCAACGGGAACCCGCTAGGGCTTGGGCAGATCTTGGACTGGCCCAGGGCGGCTAGGGCTGAGGGATGTAGGGGGTGTGGTTGGCTTTCGGGTGGGCAGGGAGAGTTTGGTTTTGGTTATTTTCTCGCCTCAGCCCACCCTCTTCTGCAGACGTTAGTACCCGGTCCTGGTGGGCTATGACCCAGCGAAGGGCTTGTGGTGCCCGTCTGATCCTGCTTCGGTAGAACCTGGAATTTCGCCGTTTCCAGGCTGGATTGCCTTGCTGGGGGCTGACAGGGGTGGTGGTGAAGGGGGTGAGAAACGCCCCAGTATCAGGATGGGCCCTGCGCTCCTGACACCCCCCATCCCCCTTCCCGTGTTCCCTGCCTTGACTCCCTCTCTTCTTTGCTTCCTTTAGCCTGGTCAGCTTTTTGCTCTGTGATGCTCAAAGGTCATTTCCCTCAGCCTCCTCTAAGTCTGCAGGGTCAAGGAACTGGAAATGATGATCCCGTCCTTGATTTACGAAGGAGCAAACATATTCCATGTAGGCAGTTAGTATTAGGCTTCCTGGGTCCCCCATGGTATAGATCTGGTAGAGTGGGAACCACCTTGCTACCCAGAGGAGTTGGCACTTTATTGGAAAAAGGACTTGCCTTGGCTACTAAACGTTTGGTCTACACTGGCAATATTCTTCCTGACAGGCAGCCTCTGTTGTACTATTTTTGGGTGTTTCTAGGCCAAGCATGGGAAGCCTGTACATTGTAATAAATCATAATAAAGTGAGACATATTTGTGTTGGGTTAATAGGGCCTGGCTACACCTGTCAGGTGGTCATAAGATGCTCATGAAGGCAGAAGCACTGGAAGGAGAGGTTCCACCCAGTCAGTTGTTCAGAGGCAAAAGTTAAATTCCTGTCTGGACGTTTGCTGAAATGGATTTCCATATGCAAAGTGGTGGTGATCTGATGGCCTCTTAGTTTAAACGTAATTTTTTTTCCACAGAGTTGTCTGCTCCCTGAACTACTCCCAGTCTAAATTAGTTCCTAACACATCATAAAAAAATAAATTAGTTCCTATTACCCTTTCTCATATGGTAATATATATATATATATGTATATGTATATGTATATATATATTTACATGTTAGAGTTTATTATTTACTTCCCTACTGGAAACTCTGTGTGTGACTAGAGAAGCAGCACATTGCACAGTTGTGTTCATAATGTTTTCTTTGGTGCCTGGCATAGAGCAAGCTGTAAATAAATCTGTATTGAATGAAGGAATGGATGGTGAATGAATGGACCATATGAAATCCACCTACTCCATGCAATACACAGAACCTACACTCTTGTTTTTCTTTGAGCTCAGAAAAGATGATTTAGCTCATCAATAGAAGTGTACACTTTAAACCTTATAGGTTACTTTAGTATATGCTTTCTCCTGAAGTAACCAGAGCTGCTGTTTTGATCACCTTTCATTTCAAGTGGATCACTGAGGGGTTCCACTCTAAGGTGTGAAATCCAGTTGTCTGCTCCCTTGTGGTCACCCTGTGCATATTATGGAGCTCTGAGCAGGGGACTGAGTCTCTTTTGAGAAGAAATAGACCTGTTTATCATTCAGATCTGAATTGTTTTAATTCTTTAGAATCCACTAAGAAAATGGGAGAGTGCTTCTACAGTTTATAGTCCTTCAAAATGTCATGTTTTGTACTGTAGCCAGTACCATGGGGAGGGCACAGAAATGGACTTTTGTTTTATTTCTGAACTTAATACTTAGAGTAAAATTAAAATGATTGTCTTTTAATTCATTACAATGTTTATAGAGGGACTGAAGATGCTCATAGTGAACTGTGGGTAAAGATCACCTGCTCTTTCCGAAGCATCCTCAGCAGTAAATTTGTCATGAAGTGTGGTTATTATTATTATTATTATTATTATTATTATTATTATTATTTTTGCAGTACTGGTGATTGAACTCAAGACCTTGTAGTTATTTAACAGTTGGTTTTGTATGTCTTCCTGTGGAGACACACCCCTTCCACTGAGCCTGTCTGGTTGGCAGATTTATCCATTTTACCGATTTGATACACGTGTCCTCTTCCCTGGTCTGATAATGATTTTTTTCTGTTGATTGATAACATAATAAAACTGTATCATACAGTCACTGATCTGAGAAATGTCTGAAAAGCATCAACTCCCTAACCCTGCAATGAAGCTGCTTGTTGTAAAATGGCCTCTTAGAAAAAGCCATCAGAATGTGCCCTCTGAACTTGCTGGGAGATGCCTGCAGTGCCAAACACAGGCAAAGCCTCTTATAATTATAATTGTACAAATATTATGACCCAAATCTGGGAGTGGTGGAGGTTGGCAAACACAGCAAATGACTTCTGTTTGAAGAATTCCAGAGTAACAGCAAAGTTTGGATTTTTTTTTTGTTAGTAGTGTATTGTATCAGTGATGGACTGCCTTGTGCTAAGCTAAAGCTGAAGTGAATGTAATGTGTTGGCCCCTCCAAACAGGACTTGAATTAGAAATGGAGAGAAGACTCCCATCTTTCTTGTGCATGACCTTTACCCTCTTGTATCCATCATGGCATAAGCAAAACCTTGCTGTCACTCCAGTTGCACAGACCTGGTGATTTTTTTTCTCTAATCGCTTGAGTACTTTTTGCATTATTGACATTCCTTCTTCAATGCCTATATGCATAACTGCTTTAAAGTGTGTTGCACACAGTGGGCAGTGTTTGTGCATTTATCTCTCTAGTATTTACTGACCTTTCTCTTTGTACTAGGAACAGATGCATGACACATACAGCCCCACCAGCTTGGCCTTTTCAGTCTTGCAGAAGGCTTGAAGGAAGTGATGTACTGGTTACTTTCCTGTCACTGGGACAAAGTACCTGACACCCACAACTTTTGAAGAGATTTTGGCTAATGGGTTCAGTCTGTGGTTGGCTGGTCTAAAGCAGAAACGGGGTGGGCAGAAGGACCAGGAAGCAGAGGGTGACAGGAGGAGGGACAAGAATACACCTTTCTAGGTCTTGCCCAGTGACCCACCCTCAAGAGGACCTTCTAACAGCGCATTCATCTAGGTGCTGAAGTCATTGTTGGATGAATCTACCGATGCATCTAGCAGCCCCATGATCCAGTCACCTTCTGAACACATTAGACATTTGGGGGACATTTTACAGCTAAGCTGTAACAAATGGTCATGGCAGTGTGTAACTGAAAGCTGTGGCAGGTCTCACAAAAGAAGAGCAGAGAAGGGGAAATCTGATGTGGGCTAGAGGAGCAGTAAGGAGGGTTGAAGGTCGAGTGTGAGTTACCCTGCCTTCCAGCTGCCCTCCTCCTCCGGGGGTGCACCGAGGGAGCACCTGGAGCTCAGCAAGCTGAAGTTTTCTTTTCCTTCCCGGAAGAATGGGTGTCATGGAGACTGAGTGGCAGCTCAGCAAGAGGGTGTGAGAAAGGCTGACTCAGAGGGTTTGCACCTGTGTCAGGTGGCAGGGCTGGCATGTACTTATGAGAACCAGATGTTGCTATGGATTAGACACCACCAGGGGTACTACTGTGATTTTTTAAAAGAACAAATGTTCTCTGGAAATGGGGAACATGGGAGATAGGTTAAAGATGGGGTTGGAAGAGAAACAGCAGTTACTGTGCTTTCTCTTTTTAGTTTTTAAGACAAGGTCTCTGTGTAGTACAGGGTGGCCTTGGACTCACAATGTCATCCAGGCTGACCTGGAACTCGATCAGTCCTCCAAGGGCTGGGATTACTGGAGTGCACCACCGTGCCCGGCTTCAGCAGCAGTTACTTGTGTTAGGTGGGATCGGAGATGACTGCTTTGGGTTTGGCTCATGTTTGTCTGTTTTCCGACATGATTGTGACATGGCTTTGCTTGTGTTTTGTCCCAGCCTAGTCAAAGAGTGGTCTTCTTACTTAATATTGGCATTCTGAGGAATTGTGTTTGGCAGCAAACTTGGACTGGACCATCAGTGCCAGTACGGCAGGACCACTTCCCTGTTTCTCCAGGGTGCTAAGAGATGAGGTAGGACAGCACATAGAAGCTCATAGGTGAGCAGACCGGCTTTTTAGTTATGTTCTGTAGTTATTTCATATCAGCCAGTGTGGACTTTTAGGCAAATGGACCGCTGAAAAAGCTATCCCAAGGGAAAAAATACAGAAAAATATGGAGCGAACTTCTGAGAACTAAGAAGTCAGGCTCTTCATGGGGAAGACGCGACAGAGGAAAATACTGGAATCCTTTTAGTGTTACAAAAGGAGAATCCCTAATGCAGTAGTTTTCAGAGTGTGGTCCCCCTGATACCCCGTTAGAGATACAAAGTCTGTGGCCCCATTGTCTCCCAGCACTGGGGGACAGTGGTCTTTCCCCGAAGTCTCCCAGCGTTGATTAGAACCTCTGGGCCAGGGGCCAGGCAATCTGAATTTTTCATGAGCCCTCTGTTAGGTAAATGGTGACAAGCCAGTAAAGAACATAACCAGCAGGAATTTGGGGTTCTTGGCGGGACCTCCTGAAGTAACCCCAAAGGAAAGTCTGAATCCAGTTTATTGAACTGGGTCTTTTATAGATAGGATAGGGGGATGAGCTAGGTGGGGTGAGGTGGCAGGGTGTGTGTGTGTGTGTTAGGGGGTGGGGGAATGAGATTGGGGAGTGGGAATGGCTGAGTATGTGGCTACAGTTGTAGGTGCTGTGACCTAGCAGAGCAGGTGGCAGTGCTCTGTCCTAGCAGACTCCCCTTTGTTCCCAGGCCAGGGGCTTGGCTGCAGGATGTAGGGAGGGGCTGTGATTGTTCTCAGAGTGGGAACTCA